GGAGAAAGAGAAGATCGTGCCATCGGTACAAGCGCCGATGATATCGTCGACAAGGATCCCGGTGATCTTTCCTGCAGGATTTGGACGGCGCCAAGGTGGGCGGATATCGCCGCGGTCGAGACGGATCACAGATCGGGGGAGACATGCTTCGAACAACGTCGGTGAAGCGTTGCTGTGGGTTCGAAGAGGTGGTTGGTAGAGACCAGTCACCGAGCTGCTCTTCTTATCGGTGAGTAAGACGAATCGATGGTTGCTACTACCCTCCTTGTCTGGCAAATCCATGACGAGATGTCGCGCGCAATTGCGCATACCACTATCAGAGAACTCTCGCACGAACTCGAAAGTATCGGGTCGTGCTGATTCCACAACTTTGAAGCAAAGATGTGAGTGCTGGAGCGTTGAAACGTAGACGAATGGCTGTATGACAGACACATGGATCCCTGGAGAGTGCAGATCTGTTTTACCGCGCTGGAACCATCGACCGGCTTCCTCGTCGAAACGATCGATGCATAAAGATTTCCCGACGATACTAACTGTCGTCTGGTTGTCCCACAGCGCTATGCCATAGACAGGATCGTTATATGTTGACTGTTTCTGCAAGTCCAACTTGGAGCCCGATTTGCCAGTGTTGAAGATCAGTCGCCTTCCGCTATGCTGCGAGGGGCCGATCTGGATTCCGGTGCCGACAATGATGAGATTATATCTCTTGCTGTCTTTGTTCAAGAACTGCCATTCGACGATGGAATACACCCTCTCGGCATTCATCAAGGAAGCCTGAGCAACGACTAGTCGCTCCACCGGCGCTTCCACCTCTTGTTTGATCTCGACGTCATCGGTCGGTCTGTCGTCGCGCACCCTTAGTAGCTTGATCGATGAGTGCAGGACTCGTTCGCCAGAAGGTGGCACTCGTCTCTCTTTCGCTTCCATAGTCGACACTAGTACTCGTCGTAACTTCTGCATGTACAGGATATTGCTCGGCTTAGCACCCGTGCTGAGTTTCCTGGGAACAATTTTGGAGTCGTGCAGAAACGTAGAAGGCAGGTCTTGGCTTGACCATTTTACGTCTGCATCCAGTTGCGAGAAGAGAAGACGATCTCCGGCGACTGCAAACAGAAAGCCGCCGAGGTTCCTCCCAACAACGTCCAGTTTCGGTAGAAATGGCAGTTGATAGATCGCCGATACTGGCGATTGATTGTACTCGGGGTGGCCGCGATCGGTAAACCATATGGAATCGATGTCGAGACACGAGAATTCGCATGAAGAGGGGCGCACTCGGCAGAAATCTGATCCACAAGAAACAAACGCTGCAGATACATCTGTTTCACTGCGGGTGATCTTGGCTGAAGCTGCGCCCATATGAGTAGAGCTCCAGGACGGGGGTGATATGACTGTACGATGTGAGAAGCGTCTCGTATTAGGATCTATTTCAACTTACCACCGTGCTCTACGTGGATTTGCGAACTCAGAAGAGTGCCATCCCGCATTGCGCACACCAGAAGATTCTTGCTGTCCTTGCTCAGAACGGCAACACTCTCACAGAGCTTCTGCGAACCGTTGAGGGTATCTTGGTCTTTCCAGGAGTCTTCCAACGTCAACGAGGTCTCACCATACGAGTACTGAAAGAGGAAGACCTTCGAATCGAATGTACTAACGAACACATATGGAAAGCCGTTGATCTCCAGTGTCTCTACGCATGTGGGATCATGAGCTAGCTGGTATTGGAATGAATTCGATCGGTCGAAGTTGCCGCCATTTGAGATTGGTATGATCTCCAATAGCGCGTGACCGCTCTTTCGAGACGCAAGCGCGATGAAAGGGCATGCAGTATGTGTGACAGCCAACAGCAATGGAGAGTCAAACTTCAAAGACTCGATTTGTCTCAATGTTGGCCGAAGAAGAGTGCGGGCCTCTCGCCGTGTAATCTGGATCGATATCGTGTCAGACCAAGGACACGCCGAGATGGTCTCCTCTTCTCGCATCAGATCGTCTTCGAGCGGATCATCGTCGCTGGGTGTTTGGAACTTATCCCAGAAGCCCTCTTCCCATGCTCCAGTGAAGTCTGCACGGCTCTCCGGTTGTGTACGGACGACTCGAATTACCAAGGTCTCTGGCGGGAGCGTTATTGAAAATATCGCATAATGCTGTCTCTTCATCGTGCCTTCGATGTCTGCCATATGACTGCCATGGTCAACCACCCATATCCCAGCGCAGCCGTTGATGCCGCTGAAACTATCGTCGACAACAGCTTGTATGCCGCGTCGCAGCTCCGAGATCTCTCCATGTGGATTGTTGCCGTTTGCGACAAAAATGGACGATCGTTGCCGTTCGTCTGACGCGCGCGGGCTAGAAAGTTTGGTTACTACAAGGTCTGTAAGAGGCGCCCAATTTGGGATGCTATCGACGAAGGAGAATTGATTTGCGCTTGGATATTGTACTGCATACGAGTACTCAGTGGGCCAGGCACCGACTTTGCAAAGCAATCCATCATTGCTTGCCCCACCGGCGATCAGAAGATCTGGGTATTGCTGCGACATTTCTGAGTTGTCGATGCCCAAGCATGAAAAGGAGGTGTCAATCCGGTGTTGCCAATCACCAGCCTCATCGATCTCCAGCGTGCCCGCTGGCCCTCGCACCACATACATAATACGGCCATCCTCTCTTGCAATGTAAAACACCTCCTTTTGGTATTCGGAGTTGCGCGGCGCCTTATCCCAAGCGGTCCACTTGGGGGCGTGCTTGCCATCGCCTGGTAGTATTGATTGGAGTATTGTCTTGTCGATCGGCACTGTGGTTTGCGTTGGATCTCCAGAGAGAATGTTTTTGTAAACCGAGATGTGGTCGTCGGAAATTAGAAGGAAATCCGGACTCCGGCTAAGTGGTATGAGTAGAGAAGGTATTGTGTCCTCTAGACAAGTCAGTGACGCTCATATACTGCTCAGTACGTCTATACACTTACCAGACTGGACAAGGTATCGCTCCGTCCGAGGGGTTGCTTTACTGAGATCCTGTCTGCAATCCCAATCGAAACAGGTGAGCCTGGTCCTCCCTTGGAGGACGACAACGAACAGCAAAACAACGTGGTAGTCGTCCTGTCCACCTCCTGATGATAGGAAATCCATGTGCATGATCTGACCTTCAATAGACATGATTCGCTCATCTTCAATAGGCGCAGCAATCTCATTGTTCATCCTAGAATCTCTTTTCCATCTTTCCATTGGCTTCGTCTTGTAGAGGATAAAGCGCCCTTCGTGTGCTGCGACTGCCATTGCTCTGCATTTAGGATCTATAGCGAGGAAGATACCAAAGCGATCCAAGCGGGAACTCCCTGCAGGTAGCTTGATGGTCTTCTGGATGAATGTGGCAGTACCTGCCGTATCGTGTTGAGCCCACAAGAACATCAACGATCGGTTTGATAGTGTAAGCACGATGACTTCCGGAGGTAAGACGTCGTCTCCATTTCCTGTGGTTGGCCTTCTTGCCCTGTGCTTCATGTAATTTTGATGTAGCGAAGGACTGCCACTTGTGGTTGCGGAAACTTCACGAGGGTCGCCAAAGACTTTGGCGGTGATGATGCGGCCGCCGTTAAAGTCAGTCTTGGAAGCCACATGGCGGATCTGACCATAGTCACGGATCTCTTTGAGACGTATGAAGTCCTCACCGACCATGACAACGTCGATCAGATCTTTGTGACGTATCTTCGCCGGAAGGATGATTTTGCTTAGCGGTGTCTCAAAGACAGTCTGCGACAGTATACCGTATTCAGGCACTTGGCTTGTTGGCTTGGGCGTTGCATCCCGCATCTCAACGTCATCTTGAGACGCGTTGGCCATGATCTGATAAGGGTCGAGCGGTCTGGAAACCCACTCACCGTCGACGAGGCTGAGGCCGTGGGCTTGGGCCATGACGTTTGATTAAAGCCTATTCGGAAGGCTGGAAACAATGTATAGCTTGAAGACCGAAATCGATGGTGACAGATTCCGCGCACAACACGGGATGAGATCAGACCAGCGTAGGTAGAAGCAACGAAGGCAGACTCAGAGCTGAAACGGATGACATGTTGCTGCCTGTCGCAACAGGCTTGTCAGACACGCTGATGAGGCAAGGAAGTTCAGCAATAGGTACTGGGATCAATTGATGCAACAGAAAGCCTGTCGGATGTGGCAAGGGCTGGATTGGACGGTTAGTGGTGGTGAGCGGAATAGCAGCAGCGACCTAAGGCAACTGGAACCGGGATGCCTTGACCAACTCAAGCCGGCAGCTAGCAGGCCACTACAGCACCCTGGACACCTTCTCAGAGATGGAGTTACCGGATGCACCTACTACTAGCACGCAGCACGTGTAGAGCGCGGAAAGGCTCGTGTAGTGCGCTTCAAGTATCGGAAGGGGGTACCGATCTAGATCACCAGATGATCGTGCAGCAGGGAGTACGATCTTAGTCGGATCGCGGTCGGATCGCGATGGCTATGTGAGTTGGTTGCAAGTCCAGTGGTGCGGCGCAGTGGTTGACCAGGGTACGGGAAGTCTTCCAGCAATGGTTGGTCGGCGTGAAGGTGTCGAGCATGCAGACAGTGCGCCGACACGGAAGATTTGGCGGCACGGCAGCGTCTCGGGCCTTGGTGGCCGCCGGCGAACAGGTGGGCGCGAGTGGTGTTGTCGGGTTACACGGTCGTCACCCCCGCGCAGACAGCGGATAAAAGATGATGGCGATGGGATAGGAGGCGGCAAGTGCCGGTAGTTGACCTTCACAATTCGGTGGGGTGCCAAGCGCCTCGGTTGGACAAGGAGGAAGGCGCGACCCGTCACGTCAACCCGGCAGCTGGGACGCCCACGCGCAACAGCATGTAGCTCCTTAACAAACATCTTGCTACCCTCTTGCATCTCTTCCCTGCGCTCTCCTGCGCACACAAGGGCCCACGTTGGCCACGTCATCGCGCCCCAGATCCAGCTCTTTCTTGCCGCTGCCGCGTACTGAGGGCACGTCTCGAAATGCGGGCACTGTCATGGCATCACGCACTCCCTCTGGCTCCGTGTCGCGCTCAGTGAGCTCTGGCAGCCTGCCCACGCGCCACGCGACCCCCGTCCCCCACCTCACGCCTGCCGAGAAGGAGAAGGAGTCTCTGGTGCGCGCCGCAATCGACAATGGCGACGTCACCGCTCTGGTAGACCTCGCGACCAGTCCATCTGGCCTTGTCAGCGATATCTTGCGTTGCACTGCTTGTAGGCCTCCCATTGCACGCATCCCCACACTAGGCTGACAACTATAGGGCCTCTCTTGCTAGGATGCTCTGACAAGGATTCAGAGAAGGAGCCATGGAAACATCTCTCCGAGCACAAGGATGAGCATCAGGTTGGCTTGGACGTCAACCGCGCGTTTGTCTACTACCCCAGGAATGGTATGTCGCATACAAGCGAGCCAACTTGTGTTTCATACTAATAGGACCAGAATCTGAGAAGCAGCTCAATCGTCGAAAGGAGCAGCTCTCCGATGTCATCCTCGACGTCCTGCGCCATCACCCCACGCTCTGCTACTTCCAGGGCTACCACGATATCGTCCAGGTCTTCCTACTCGTCCTCGGCCCGGAACATGCCCCCGCTGCAGTTGCTCGACTAAGCCTGCTTCGCATTCGCGACTTTATGCTGTCGTCGCTCGACCCAGCCCTCGCCCAGCTCGAATTGCTGCGACCGATCCTCCGTGCCGCCGATCCCGTCCTGTATGAGCATCTCCCCAAAAGCCAGCCGTCATTCGCGCTCGCCGGAACAATCACCATGTTCGCCCACAATATACAAGACTACAAGGATATCACGAGGCTGTTTGACTTCTTCTTGGCTCGACATGCCGTCATGCCCATATACCTCTTCGCAGCTGTGGTGCTATCCAAGAGGGAGGAGCTGCTGGAGTACGAGAAGGAGGACGAAGACATACTCTATGTCATGCTAGGGAAGCTCCCAGAGCCCTTCGACGTCGAGTTCCACATCGCTCGGACCGTTGAGCTATACGAGAGATTACCTCCTGCGTCGCTCAACAGTTGGGAGTGGTGGCGCATCTCGTCCTCCAGCGTACTCAAATCGTCTGCGACAAACAACAGTCTGCGTCATCTTACCTTGGAAGATGGCGAGATGCTGTTTTTGCAGCAGGAGCAGGACCTCCGCCGCGCGCAGACCCTGAGACAGGCCGTCAAGACCATCCGGTATATCAACCTGCGTGTTTGGTACCACCGCCGGTACGGGGCTGTTGGTCTTGCCATGGTAGTGGGTGCCTATGCCCTGTGGCTCGGCAGGAATGGAGGTCACAACACGGGATACCCGCTTCTTGGACCGTTGGGAGGGTACCTGATGAGGTTTCTCGGGGCCCCAGCATGAATGGTGCATCAGGAGTTGCGGATACAACAAAAGTGGTTTCAGAGCATAGCATGGCGCTAAGGAAAGATCGGCGCAGCAAGAGGAACAAAAGTTTGAAGGGTCCTTTGGCTCATATAGAGATACTTCACATTCATCAGTGACCAATTCCTCATTTTGTTCCAGATGGCTGGTCTTTTCTGCGACTGTCTAACACCATCCATGCATATATGTCCCAAATTCTCACCAGGCAGTTTACGCTTATCTCTCTCACAGCACGCCCGTAAACGTCGCTAGAGGGTGTACTCAACATCACAGTACCTAGTACCAGGACACTACGACCATATTAGCCAACTTCACATCCCCATCCTTCACCAACCCGGCTTACCGTATCATGAAACGCACAAGCCCACAGCTTACACTGCTGCATCTGTAGCTGTCGCGTCAAACCCATCTTGGTCTGTCAAACCGTCAGCTCGAATCCAGCAATGAATCTCTTTCTCTGGTCTCAGTGGCGGATACGTACCTTCATGCAATACTCAATCTCCTCGTCACAAACGCCGGATCCGGGGATCTCGGATAGCAGGGTTGCGGGTTTGGGGATCCATCGGTAGGTTGTAGTGCGGGGGTTTGTGGTTGGTGTTGCGGCGAAGGCGAGGGGGGCTATGAGGAGGGTGGATAGGAGTAGGAGTATGGGGTGCATGTTTGCGCGGTTGTTGTTATGGTTGTCTGGTTCGTGTGTTGGGAGAGGAATGCGTGGTAACTGAGTGATGGGTCAAGAGGTGGGTGAGAGTGTTGATCAGTCGCGTCGGCGTTGTGAAAGATGTTATGACGTCGAGGTGGATAGTGAATGGTAAGGGAAAGGCATATCAAATGAGTGTCACTCGCTTGAAACTCGTAATTGAGCTGGTAAGCCATTCATCTTGGTAGAAGGTTGCAGATGACTATTGATAGGTTTACCCAAGGTAAGACATTCCGCCATTGAGAAAGCATATTGACATACTTCTTAGGCTGCGTGTACTGTCCAATACACACCAATCCCAACACCAACTGACTCTGTCGTATAAAAGCTGACATAGTGCTTCAGTCCCGCATTTCATGATTACTAGTCAAAATTGTTGGGCACCGGCGATCCATGGAGGAGAGTGCGCAAATCAGGTTGTAGCACCTCTCCATGTCCGAGTTTGTAAGTGCAGCGATCGCAGTCCATGCACTGCAAGAAAGTTAGCCCACTCCATCTAATCATGATGATAGTCCACTTACAGCCTCATCCGCGCACATGCTCTTGCGGTACTTCTCCTTGGTCTCAGCATCAGGCGAGCCCTGTCGCGCATTAGTCATCGTTCGCAAGGCCCAGGTGCATCGTCGTAGTAGAAGAGAACGCGCAGGGAAGGGGGACACTTACAGCAGTAGGGTAGAGATACATCATGTACTCGCAGCTTCTGACCGTTTCACACACTCTGTTGTCAGGGTAAGGGTACAAGTACTTCGGAAAGCCCGCACATGTCATCCTTCCCTTGGGGAAAGCATCTGTAGGTCCCTCGGGTTGGCAGCCACCGGCCCTGCTGCACTGGTACGGCACCGACCATGTACCGTTTTTGGCGCATTTGTACATGAAGCGCTGGTGGGTGTCGCAGGCCCAATCCCCGTAGGCACATTCGGTGCTGTTGGTTTGACGTTGGACATTCGACGGACCTACACCACCTGTCTCGCAATGCGCTTGGCCTGGGCTGTCAGTGATGCAGTCTCCGTAAGTGGTGCACTTCTTCTCGGTATGCCACATCTCGTTGTCTCCGCAAATCATGAGGGCGTATGCGTCGGAGTCGCACTTTCGATCGCCTGGTGTGCATGGCTCGGGTACGGTCGGTGGAGTAGGTGGCTTCATCCAGCATTGCACGACATCGTCATGCCTGACGCATTCGGAAGTCTTAGGACACATAGTAGATTTCCAGACGTTGTCGACACACTCCTGACGCTTGTTGCCAGAGCAGCGAGACGTGCCAGTATCGCAATACTTATGAGCATCTGGAGTTCCTTGCGAAATCCACGACCGAGAGTCAAGGGATTTGGGAGGAGGAACAGTGGGCGGGATACCGGCCATAGAGATACATTTCACCTTGCCTGAAACGACTTTTTTACCGGGCACCCAGTACATACAGAAGTCTTGAGGTCCACATGTTGTGCGGGCAATCCAGAATTGGTCATAGTTGCAGGATTCGATGTAGTGAAGACCGCTGGACCACTTTGAGCATCGCACCTCTTCCACTGTCTGGCACGGCTCGGGCTGTGGAGGGGTCGGAGGACCAGGGTACGTTGGCGGCAAGTTCTTGGTCGCGCAGGAAGTCTTGTTCATGAGTGCGTTGCATACTCCGGGTACAGGGCATGCTTCGACGACTTTCCATTGGTGCTCGTTGTTGCATTCGAGACGCCACTCGTTGCCGAGGCAGCGCTCTTCGCCGATGTTGTCGCAACTTGTCTCGAGACAAGAGCCGCGATCATCGGGGTCGTCGACGTCAATGGTACAGACCGCTGTGTTGCCACATGCTCGTACTAGATTCCATTCACCTTGGTAATTGCACTGCAACAAGCCGTTCTCGCGGCACATTCGGGTGTCTGGCTGGCAGGGTCCCTCTGGGGATGGAATGCTGGCAGAAAGTGCAACAGGTAGGATTGCGGACAGAGCCACGAGGATCTTGTTAACTCGCATCTTCAGTGAGCGTGTAGAGTGAGGTGATAGTCGTGACAGGGGCAGGGGCAGGAGGAGAGAATTGGAGGTAATGGTGCAGGAGGGAAGTAATGTAGGTGACTGAACAGCACATTGATGTGGAAAAAAGCACTAGGCTAAAGCTTTGGCAGTGGAATTACAACGACTGCCTCATGATTTGAGGCAGGTGATAGGTCGGTAGTGAGGGAAAGAGCTACCCCGATACTGACAAACGTCCAAATGAGCGAGTGATTGACCGCTTTCTCGATCATTGGCGCCGTCGTTCAACTTACAGCCTATCAGTTAGCATACAATACCATACCCTGGGTCCTCAACATCCAGCCAAGCTTCTCCGCTCTGAGTGTTTGCACTCCGATGGGCAGCAACTCCACGAGGCAGGCACGACTAACGTGGTCTAGACGCGCTTGCTTCAATCAAGTCTGATTGTATCGGATGCGGGAATTTTATTGAAGTAGAATGGAAGCGACTTGTTGAAAAGGAGGATTGGAAAAGCGAAAGCAGGAGTGAAAAGGGACAGACCTGGAGATTCTCGTCATGAGCGCGAGTCACGTGACGCGCTCAAGCTCCACCAGCAACTCAGTTAGGACTCACTGTCATCTCTAATATTGAGTGAAAGCTTCAGTGGTTCGCTTGACAGTAGGCTATTTCCTTGACTTCTAAAGATTCAGACTCACGTTCAAGCTTCGTTTCGCAACGATCAACCCGAACCAACACATCCCATCCGCCACCATGCTGATACCGAAAGCAGCCATCCTCTTATCTCTTCCGTTCACTGTACGCGCACTGTCTTTCTCCTCCTTATTAGGCATTCGAGGGTCGAAACAGCAAACATGCGACCGTTCATGCTACGCCGACTATCGCTCGCTCATGGGCGACGCTGCTGAAGACCTCGTACTTCCAAGCTCGTTATCGCATCAAAACACAGCCGACGACCTGTGCAGCGATCTGGAATGCTCCGAGTGCGAGTTTTGCGACGTCAGCCTCACCGGTCGCTTTCCTATCCTGTCTCTGCAGAATGTAGAGCTCAACCGGATAGCGAATGCGGAAGCAAGAAAAAAGGCGGGCGACACGGAAGTGACAACGTGTACGGGCTGTCAGCTATACCTGAATGACTGCGAAAGACCTCACGAACGCAAAATGAAATCCAATCTCCCATGGCATGAACTCGCAACGCCGTACCCTCTCCACACAACAGACCACCAGCGGACTCTACAATGCGAGCTTCAGCTCTGCACAGCCGGTCCCTTACACTGCGGCGTCAACGGGGCATGCGAGCGCGAAATCTGCAAAGACCTCGCTGATCGGGCTGGCCTTCTTGAACCGGCTCATACGATGGAATGCAAAGACTGTCTGAAGTCCTGGGTTAGATGCATACACGATAGGTGTATTCCACCTACACTCGACGCTCTCGCGGACAGCCTACGCTGGCCGAATTGCTTCAAGAACCATGCGCAATGTCAGCAACAAACATGGCAAGAGATCAACGCTTCCCTTGCACCGGATGGAGATTGTGTGGAGTCTTGTCGGGCTAGCACCCCAACGTATTGCCAGACTGGCTCTTGTGCCTTACCTTTCCGTTCCTCGGGGACGCAGAACTCGAGCTCACTATCACTCAAGTATGCATCGGGTGGATCCGAGGCCTCTTCTCGGGTTTGCAATGCCTTTCGCGACACATGTCTGGAGACCTGTGACATGGGTAATGCTCACACCAAATGCGAAGCAAAGTGCGAAAGACTGCATGCTAGGAACGAAGGGTTCAAGGAAGTATGTAAGGAGACATGCGGGCGAAGGACTTGCTGGACCGAATGCAGAGATATGACATGTTGCGTGGGACCAGAGCAGTGTAGAGAGGGTGGAGAGGCATACAGGTGCAACAACAGACTGAGATGCGAGAAGTATAGAAAGATGGCAAAGAAGGGCAATGTGATGCTGCGCAGTTAGTAGGTGCTATTCCTCACGCTTTATGGCCCTTATCGCGTTCATGTCAATAAGGATAGTGAAATGCACTGGATCATAATCGATGTATTAAACAGGATCGTCGGCCTGCGACCTCGATGTTTTGGCAGAACTCCACCCAACGCCTTGCATGAAGCTCATGATATGGTAAATGTAATAGCAGTGGTAGCAAGCTAGCGGTCCTATCATGACCGCTATTCCCTTGGGCTGAGTGTTGATCTGCATGAACGCCGTCATGCACCGTGATGTCATGCTCGCCTCTTATTTCGGGCCTGAGCCATATCCAGCGCTGTTCTTCGGTTCTTCAGCAAGCAAGTCGGCGCTGTATACACGCTTGTAATCCTGCTCGCTCCAGCCCTGCTGCTGGGCAAGGCCACTGAGACTCAAGCCACGCGAACGAGTCTTCTTGACTGCTTCGCCTTGAGCGGCGCCAACGGGAGTAGAGCCATAGTTGAGCGGCACTACACCTTGGCCGGGAGGAGGGAACGGAGTGGACCCTGTAGGCGACGCGACTGTTTGGCCCGTAGTGACGTTGTCGGGTACTTCAGAGTCGGCGGAGAAGTCGGACGAGACGGACGCTTGCTGCGCTCGCTTCAGTGCGTTCTCGTAGTTCGCTGAGCTTGCTCGAGCCATGCCAGGGCGGCGGTAGCCAGTGTAAGCGCGGACAGCTTCAGTTGGGCCATTGTCTGTTGTTTCGTTTCCTCCACCGGCCCCCATCAGGGGCAAAAGATTTGGGTCGGGAGCAGCCGCATCGGTTTGCGAAGCGCTGTTGGAGGTGAAGGCGGCTTCGGCTTCGGAGCGTGTATTGGGTGTGAGGCCAGAGGGAGTGAAGGCGCCCGATGAGAGGAAGGAGCCCTCGGTGGGCGGCATGAGAGATGGTCGTGAACTCATGGTGAAGACGGTGTGTGCTGTCACCTCTTAGTAAGCTGCAAGACATCCTGGATACCTTGAAAGCGTAAACGTACGTGAAGTCTGTGAAGTACTATTAGGGCCTGGGCGGTGCCGTGTCGAATAGTGTGATTGGAGGGTACTGGTCCCTGTCTATCAGTTAGCTGGGTAGTCCCTAGAGGCCGTAGAAGGACCGCACCGAACGTTCAGGGTCTTTGGTATGCAGGTGCAGCAAAAAGAATCGTAATTGTTCGTTCACATCAGTCCTAAGCGACTGCCATGTATTTGAGCAATAGCGGCTGATGCTATGCCATCATATCTTGGCGGGTGACGTCTTTTCAGGGTCCAGACTTGCGGGGCCCTCTAGCCGCATATGGCAGCTTCTCGTGCAGCTCAATCAACAATAAGGGCGATGGCGACGAGCCGCAAGGGTTTGCGCTGATCGCTGACATGCTTGCTGTGGAGATGGCTCCATTCAATAGGTGGGAATGGCGCGGTCGACGTCTCTAAGCGGAGAGAAGACGTGCAACATGCATGTCACCGCGCGTTAGGGCTGGTGATACTCGGAACACGGGACACGGGTGAGTATTGGTGAATTCCTCGTCTAAACATCCAACAACCATCTGACCACTCACTCCCATTAATTCGAATCGAAGCATCGAAACACTAACCAAACCAAACGTCGACCAAATACAGACACGGTGGCTACATCGCCGATCCACAAAATCTTGCCACAAGTAGCCCCTTGTTTTCTGCTCAAAACCGCCCAACAGATCTGGCGTAATGAAACCTCTGGACAATCTATGATACCGTTAGACGAGAATCTTACTGCAAGGTGAAGAGGAAGCAGACGTCTTACCTCACTACATTAGCCGCGAATCATCCGACAGTATCGAACTAGAGGCCAGAGTGGCAAACACCAATGGCGGCGGTAGTAGCACCACCAACCTTGGCAGTGCATTCAACATAGGCAGCATAGACTGCGGCGAGAGCAAAGCCAGCGGTGCCTTCAACAGCGGCCAAAGCAGCGCCAGTGCATCCAGCGATACCGGAAGCGCCTGCAAGCCCGGCAGCAACGACGCAAGAGCCACATGCCCAGTTCTGGAAGCAGCCGCTTCGGCCTGACTTGATACGCGCATCGTGAAGGGCAAGCGCCTGACGCTCCATGCGACGGACCGAGTCGTTGCGAGCGGCAAGCTTGTTGCTCTTGACTTCGGTTACAGCGTCGACACGGGCGGCTTCCGGGGCGACCAAGGCTGAGACCTCGAGCGAGAGTTCAGTGAAGACGTATTCTTTGACGTGGTTCGGCCAGGCCTGGACGGCTTCAATGGGTTGCTGCAGGAGGGGGCACCAGTCTTCCACGGTCATCGTGACATAGTCGACGGTGTTGAGGAGGTCGACCATGGCCTTGGTTGGAACATGGACCTTCTCGGCAATGACCTCGATGGGGATTGCTCCCAAAGAAACGTCGATGTCGATGTTGGCCGTCGCATTGACGCTGGCGGCTGCAGCCATGCTGGCAGTAGCAAGGAGAGATAGCTTGAGGAATGAGGCAGTCATGGTGAGGTAGGTAGCTGATGAAGGCTGTGGATTGAAAGTGAATGTTGGAAGGGTTATGGTGAAGATACTTTGGAAAGAGAGTGAAGTATCGAGCTGGTATTGAAAGCGAGCTTTGCCTCCGGTACTTATATTGACAGCTTCATCCAACATACATTGCCACGATGCCTGATTACCGAGACAAAGTATCCTCCGTCGGATACGGACACAACAATTGATGGCCTTCCGCTCACGTTCTTACTGGGATCTGGCTTACTTGCACAGAAGCAGAATGCAACGCGACGATGAGAGATAACCAAGCATACGATTGTTACTGAGGCCGTATTCGAATCAGCCCTAAGGCCTTGGACTGCTCGCGCTTTCGCTGAGTTCGGGTCTATTCACTGACAGAAGCAGCATGCCCAGCACTGATACGAAATTACAAAAAGTACAGCCACTGCCTAATGCAGTAACTATGTAAGTTCCAAGGGCTTGGATCGCTGACCGAATAGGTAGCTTAGCTCTCTTCACCGCTGAGTATCAGTCATCAGAATTGCCTCGCTATCCCCACTCTGTCCATAGCAAGGCACAAATCTAGACTT